TGCGTGCGTGTGTGCGTGCGTGCGTGCGTGCGTGCGTGCGTATGTGCATTGCTATGGATCAAGCCCAGGGCCTCTACCACTGAACTAAGTCGTTAGTCTTTTAAATTTTCTTTTAATCCTCTTGCTCCCACCCTCAATCTGGGATGAACTTCTCATTCTGAAACCTCATATTGTCACTTGTAATTTTGGTTAAACTATTTTCTTGAGAAATTCTTACCAAGTGACCCAGGCATGGTAAGAGATACCTGTAGTCACAGCATTTAGGAGGCTGAAGCAGGAGGATCACCACTAGTTCAAGGCCAGCCTGAACTAAATAGTGAGACTGTCTCAAAAAAACAGAAAAGCAAAAGAAAACAATTCTTACCAAGTGTGGGAGGTAAGCATGCTAAAATATGTGCTTCTCATATAGTTCCAGATTAACAAACCAGATGTGGCCCATGCCTATAATCCCAGTACTTGAGTGTCTGAGGCAGGGGAATCCAAGATCACCGCCAGTGTGAGCTGCCGGGAGAGATCCTGTGTCAAAAGCCCAGAAAAAAAGGGAAAAGCAGATTGACAATATCTTCCCCTTAATTTTTTTTTTTCTAGACAGGGTCTCGCTATATAGTCGAGGCCGGCCTTGAACTCACTACATAGCCCAGGCTGGCCTCCCCCTCACAGTGATCGTCCTGCCTCAGCCTCCCATGTGCTGGCACCACAGGACTGTGCCTCCTGGCCTTTCCTTTGTAATTTTTAACACATTGCTTCATCATGTTTTAGCATCTTTGTATCTGAAATTTGACCTCAGTGTGATTTTGAAACTTTCTGAGTAACAATTCCTTTTTCTTTTCTTTGAAAGCAGTGTGGATTTTTTTTTTTTCCACTGTGGAGCTTTGCCATTTCATAAATCCATGTCTAACATTGTAAAAGGTGAGTTATCTTTTAAAAGATGAAATTCACAGATACACAAGGCCATTGGGGCACGGTAGCACATGCCTGTAATCACAGCAGAGAGGCTGAGAAAGGAGGATTGCTGTGAGTTCAAGGCCAGCCTGGGCTACATAACGAGGCCTGTCGGGCGCAGGCGCCCTGCTCCTCAGCCTTGCCCCTCCCGCTGGAGCTTCTGCTACGAGTCTTGTTTCCTGTATAGCTTTTGGTCCCTGCTGGCAAGATTTGATTGGTTCGCATAGC